TACTCCACCTCCGATGAGGGGATTAGCGCTACAATCAGCCTTTGCGGGTCGGATTTGGGGTAGTGTGGACGGAATTCGAAGTTATTGGCCTCCGGGAGCTATCCCACAGTGCTTCATTGTGACTGCTCTGGACAGCACTCTCAACTCAGATGCACTGACCAGGGAGACAGGAAAAGCCCCACGAACTTTTGAATTTCATTCCTGTTTCCCCAGTGTGGAGAGCACAGGTGACCACGCAGAGCTCATCAGCACAGGTAACCATGATGGAGTCCCAGGATCGCAAAAGAGCTCCAGCATGGACAGAACGGGAGGTACAGGATCTGCTCGCCATATGGGGAGACGAATCAGTGCTAGCTGAACTCCGTAGCAGTAAACAAAATGGCAAAATATTAGAAAAGGTCTCAAAGGCCATGAAGGACAGAGGCCATAACAGGGATGCACAGCAGTGCCGCGTGAAAATTAAGGAGCTAAGGCAAGCCTACCACAAAGCCAGAGAGGCGCAAACGGAAAGTCTGGGGCAGAGCCGCAAACATACCGCTTCTACACAGAGCTGCATGCCATTCTAGGGGGTGCAGCCACCATTACCCCAACCGTGTGCTTTGACTCCGTCAATGGAGAAACATGCAACAGGGAAGCGGGTTCGGGATACGCGGAAGACAGCTAACAGCAAGGAAGCAGAGAAACCAGTTTCCAACAGCTAGGATATGTTTATCACCCTGGACCTGGAGCCAGTAACCCCCGAAGTCACCCAAGGCATGCTTTCAGACCATGAGGGCACACAAGGGACCTCTGGGGAGGGTACCTTTGTAAATATTACACATGGTTTAAAAGCAAGCTTGTTTAATGATTAATTTGCCCTGGCAATCGCGGCCAGTACAGCTACTGGAAAAGTCTGTTAACGTGTATGGGGATGGAGCGGAAATCCTCCAGGGACATCTCCAGAACGCTCTCCTTCATGTACTCCCAAAGCCTTTGCAAAAGATTTCTGGGGAGGGCTGCCTTATCCCATCCGCCATGGTAGGACACTTTACCACGCCAGGCCAGTAGCACGTAGTCTGGAATCATTGCATGGCAGCGTATGGTCCCGGTGTTCGCTGGCATGCAGACAACATCCATTCCTTATCTCTATTTGTTATTCTCATGAGAGTGATATCATTCACGGTCACCTGGTTGAAATGGGGTGATTTTATTAAGGGGACATTCAGAGGTGCCCGTTCCTGCTCGGCTGAACAGAAATGTTCCCCGCTGTTAGCCACGAGGTGGGGGGGAGGGGTGAAGTGATCATCCCAGAGAATTGGGTGGGTGAGTGTGGGCGGGGGGTAGTTGGGTGTGCTGCTGTTTGAAACCATTCCCACATGTTTTAAAGGTTAAAAAAGCCAAAAGACTGTGGCTTACCATGGCTGCCTGCAAGCCGAATTCTGTTGCCTGGCACTGCGTGAGTGCTCAGGGATTCTCACTATACATGTTAAATGTATTATTAATACATAAAATAGGCCCACAAGAGTTTACCATAATCTCACAAGAGACTAATCACTGCAATCATGTAAAAATCTTGAAAATACTTTTTTTTCTCTATTGGGGTTATTGCTGATATGCACTTGGGGTGACAAGCTGCTTTTAACTATACTGGTGTGAAACAGGACTAACGCTATTTATTTAATTGAAGTCAATGGAGTTACTCCTGATTTGCACAAATACAGCTGAGAAAAGATTTTGTCCATGGTACCTAGACAAATCTGTGGTGCACAATGGCAATAGGAGGCAAACTGAACACTAAAGATTGCAAGTAGGCCAAGGTTTATGTCTGCAAGAAATCATTGGTAAAATGTAGAATGACCCTAGTTGTGCAACAGGCTGACAGATTAGAATCTGTTTTTTGTACATAATCTAAGATGCAATCTCAGTTAGTGCTATAATGCAAATGTAGGGCGATAAATACTTATTATATGTATATAATGGTTATTCATTCAAGGATTACATTGCCATTCACAAATATTAATAATTAACCCACTTAGCAGTCTTGCAAGGTCAGGAAGCAGTAATATCTCCATTTGCGAGGCAGGGAGAGACTCAAACTAAAGTAGTCAAATGTAGGAATCTTGGTCAAGTCACTTAACTTCCCTAAACCAGATTTTTAAAGATATTTAGGAAGCTAAAGATGCAGATAGGTACCCTCGCTGGATTTTCAAAAGTGCCTAAGCACCTAACTCCCATTGGAAGCTGGGCCCCCATCTGCATCTTTAGGGGCCTAAATACCTTTAATTCTGATTCTCTGTGCCTTCTTATCCTTATTTGTATAACAGGGATTATAATATCACACCTACCTCTCCGGGGTAGACTTATTCCATCTACCATAAAGTTAAACACTATGAGATCCTTAATGGAAGGCACTGTAGAATTGCTGCTTAGTGAGATTATTAATTAGTGTTTTCAGATATCCCCAACCTCCACTAGACTCCCTGTCTCTTTAAATTGGACTTGCTGAAAGATGGAGTGTACTTTGTCTTAGTCTTTTCACCTAAAATGTGTGTTCCACAAAGTAGTTGTTTGGATGTACAGCATATTGTATGGCTCCATGCTCATTAAAATCATTTGTACAAAGAGGCATCTGCCTGGCTGCTGAGAGTTCATTATAATTTTGAGGATGGAGTGGCACATTGATGGCTGCTGTGATTAAAGTTGGTCAAAAACGTCAGTGTATTTTGTGAAAAATTTCCCCCCAAAAGACTTTTTTTTTCATTTTGTTCAGTATTTTCCATTTCTACATATATATATATATTGTGACGGGGCAAGGCCAGATGGCTATAGTAAAGTAGTGGAGACAGATGTATTAGCCACAGGCTAAACAAATCCCTGTTACCAGGATAGGCAAATGGCAGCTGCTCCAGGTCAATTAAGACAACTGGGGCCAATTAAGATCTTTCCAGAAGGCAGTGAGGACAGCTGGGTTGATTGGGATACCTGAAGCCAATCAGGGGCTGGCTCCCAGTTGGTCAGGTGGGGGCATGTGTCAGGAGCTGTAGGAGGAAGCCGCGCTGTTGGAGCAACTAAGCAGTACAAACCATATCAAGCACAAGGAAGGAGGCCCTGAGGTAAGGGTGAAATGGATATTGAGGAAGTGCGGGCTTTTGTGGGGAAGTGGCCCAGGGAGTTGTACACATCCTGTTTCTAAAAAGTCAGCTACCATAGCTGATACTATTAGGGTCCCTGGGCTGGAGCCCGGAGTAGAGGGTGGGCCCGGGCTCCCTAATTCGCCCCCCGATTAATCACTGAGACTGGGAGACAACAGAGACTGTGCAAGGGAGGGTAGCTTCTCCTCACCTCCCTTGCTGGCTTATGATGAAAATGGCTCAGTAGTCTTTGACCCTTGCCTCTAGAAAGAGAAGGGCTACGTGGAGGGTCATAGTGAGCCTCTGAGGCAGTGAAATCTGCCAGGAAATGCAGGACCATGGAGATAAGGACAGAGCTTTGTCACAATATATATATTTGGTTTTCAACAAAAAACTTTGAAACAAAATGTTTTGAAATTTTCCAAAAGATGTTTTTTTAAGGTGGGGAGTGGAAATCACTACTTCTGGGAGGGAGTTATGGTGTGAGTGAAAGTGGGGGTCTCCTCACATAAATTAAACAATTTGTAATTGATAAAATGAATTTTTTTATGAAAATGAGGAGTACTTGTGGTACCTTGGAGACTAACAAATTTATTTGGAAATTCTTCACAAACATTTCTGCTTTGGCTGAAAAGGCATTTTCTGAGGAAAGAATTTGATGGAAAAATTTCAACCAATGTTGTGATACCTGTGAGTGCGTGGAGTTTGGTTTTCTTTGTGTGTATGACTGGGTGGGGTGCTGGGGAGGTTGATTTTTTCGGTTATTCTCTGGTTTGGGGAGCTTGCTGGATTTATTCCCGTTTGTACCATATGTTAAGTGTCTAGAGTTCTGGATTGATGCCTTTTTCTATATCACAGACATTGAAATGAATAAGATTTTAAAAACAAATAATTTATATGTGAAACTAGTCCTTAGTCAGGTATAATTTCCATTGAAGCCAAGAAATTGAAGCTGCACAGTTTGCCTCTTCTGGGAACAAAGCACCAGTGGAAATTATTAGATGCAAGCACAATGGCCCCAGAATGCAAGATGAACACAGGCAGGAGCAGCAGCTGCTATACCACATATATAAGATTACCAGCTCATGCAGAATGGGGAGGGACACTAGCTGTCCCCGTCAGAAGGGTGTAGGGAAAAGACAGCTGCCTGCACACACTTTCTCCCTTCAACCATTCAAGCACTGCAAGAATCTGCCCTTAACTGTGAGCATTGTGTCTATAGACCGCCTTTGACAGAACATTCACCTCACTTGCTCTGTCCTTGGTTTCGAAACTGAACTCAGTGCTTCTCCAAACAAGATGCAATAACCAGCCTTCTGGGGAAGAACCTGTTAAACAGCTCCTTGATATGAAATGAAAAACCAAGTCCAAAGCTCCAGCAGTGTGCAGGGTCTACGGTACCAGTTCTGAAAATTGCTTGAATAGTGACTTTTAATCAGCCGCAGAGAATAAAGTGCATATTTGTATGGGAATTTAGCTTGTCTACAGCTTGTCCTTGGATTTACACAGACATATAACATGCAAAACTGCGAGCTAATCGGGATTACACAATCCTGCAAGGTGCTGAGCACCTCCTCTGAGGTGTTGAGGGCAGACCATTCCCATAGCCTGCAATGGGAGTAAAAGGGCTCTGTACCTGAGCCGGGGTGAAACAAGGTAACGCAGCACTGTGTTATAACACATCATAAGATGGTAATAAAAGGAAAGGGAAGCAACAAAAAAAGTTCATATAGCTCAACAGTCTATAAATCACTGAACAGTAACATCTGAAGTAACTTAACTGCTGTAATTATTAACTGTGACCTTAAGGATTGAGACAGTCCTTATTTGAGACACTGAGTCCTGCTATTTTACATCTTCTCTGAAGCAACATATACTAACAGCTCCATTATGAGGGAAAGGAGGACAGTAGACTCTTCTAGTTCGGCTGCAGATCCGAGTGAAGGGATGGGGACTTTAAGGCTGAAGCGAGAGGTTGGACTGATTAGCGCCGTGTCGTTAATTGCTGGAACCATGATAGGGTCTGGGATCTTTATGTCTCCAGAGTGGGTGCTGTACCATATGGGTAGCCCTGCAGGCAGTCTCATCATCTGGGCTGCTTGTGGTCTGCTGGTCATGTTTGGAGCCCTGTCTTATGCTGAGCTTGGGACCATAATTAAAGAGTCAGGTGGGGACTATATTTATATCTTAAGGAATTTTGGCTCTCTTCCTGCTTTTCTTTTCGCATACACTTCCATCATCGTGGTAAGGCCTGCCAGCATGGCAGGTGTCTCTTTAAGCTTTGCCAAATATGCTGTTGCTCCATTTTACCAAGGATGCTCAACCCCTGAGGTAGTGGTCAAGTGTACGGCCGCTAGCTGTATCCTGCTTTTAACCATCATTAATTGTCTCAATGTGAGGCTGGCCACAGCCATTATGAACATATTTACAGCGGCCAAACTGTTAGTTTTGCTGGTCATCGTGATAGGCGGAGTGGTGTTGCTCATCAATGGACATACACAAAGTTTCCAGGATGCCTTTCAAAACACAACTACAGGTATTGGGCCAGTTGGAGTGGCATTTTATCAGGGACTGTGGTCCTATGATGGATGGAACAACCTGAATTTTGTGACCGAGGAACTTAAGAAGCCTGAAGTGAGTGAATTATACTGATTTTACTTTATTTGTTCAATTTTGCAAATAGCACCCTTGATTTTTTTTAAGCTAATGAGAGGGGCAATACTGTCTAGTGGTTAAAGCACGGAGCCAAGCAAGCTGGGCTCTGTCCCTGACTTGTTTGTGATTTTGAGCAAACCATTTAACTTCTCTATGCCTTATTTAACAAGCACGCGGACAAAGGAGATCCAGTGGATATAGTGTATTTAGATTTTCAGAAAGCCTTTGACCAGCTCCCTCACCAAAGGCTCTTAAGCAAAATAAGCAGTCATGGGATAAGAGGGGAGGTCCTCTCATGGATTGGTAACTGGTTAAAAGATAGGAAACAAAGGGTAGGAATAAATGGTCGGTTTTCAGAATGGAGAGAGGTAAATAGTGGTGTCCCCCAGGGATCTGTACTGGGCCCAGTCCTATTTACAATATTTATAAACGATCTGGAAAAAGGGATAAACAGTGAGGTGGCAAAATTTGCAGATGATACAAAACTACTCAAGATAGAACAGGAGTACTTGTGGCATCTTAGAGACTAACA